TACTTACTTATATATATATATATATATATATATATATATATATATATATATATATATATATTCCTTTTGAAAGAATTGTTCAATTCCAACGAAAAAAATATATTTGTTGATTAATTGCTATGTTGCATTTGAATACCTATATTATATAGTTTCCCCCTCTAACAATAAATCACATGCAATGTTTTATAATTTGTAACTTTATTCAACGAATTGATGTCCTAATTAAGATTTATTTATTTTGTATTTGTTTGCAAGGTCCTCTAAGGGCAAACAGCCAAAAATAAATAAATTAGAATTTATTCATTTTAATATTTTATGTTTCACCAAACCTTATTATTAATGTGGAATATTTTTTTACATTAGACTATCCTTTTATTATATGGGTATTTAAATATTTCTAATTAATTAGAATTCATAAGTAAGAAATTTGTTCATTCTTAATATGTTATTATAATTCAAATGACACGTACTGTTTATTTTGTCTCCATCAGACCTCATAGATTTTCTCGCCTCGAGCTTCACTATTTATTGAGTCTAAGTTTGCTTGTACTATGTAAACTTGTGCTATATCTGATAAGTTCTTTTCTTCGACCTGCTAATCAACCGCTCTCTGTTATAAACGTCACACAACATTTAAACTTGATATTTTTAATTAAGAGTGAAGAGATTTTTACCATCTTAATGTATAATTTGATACTAGCAAGCTCTCTCCTTCCCAAAATAAATATTATTTTAGCAAAAATTACATTTATTAAGAATTTAATGAACACCATTATGTATAATTTACTAAACCACCTTATTTAGTGTATGTCTCTAAATAGTTAAATATTACTCCTTTCGTCCGATACTGTTTGTCATGGTTTTTATTTTTAGAGTCAAACTATAAAAATATTAACTAACATTTTAAGATGCATCTTTTCATCATATTAATATGAAAAAATTGTAACTTATAGTACTTTTCATATAGTTTTTGAATATCTAATTTTTTTGTTTAAAATATTGAATTAATGTGATCTAATTTACCTTTAAAAATTAGTCAAATTAACTTTCGATAAGCGCAACATGACAAACATTTCTGGACGGATGGAGTACTATAAGAAGATGAAGTGTATATAAAGTATAGGTAGAAAAACCTAGAAAAGAATTTCTGTCTTAAATTCCTAAAATCTTGTATAGTAATAATTTTTAAAAAATTAAAATAACACTTATTTTAAAATCGAAAAAAATAGTGAACGAGAGAATAAATGTGAAACCAAGAGTAGTATTAAATGGATCCTACAAACATAGATAAATAAATATCAAGTGAACTTCTTTTTTTTTTTAATTTATTTATTTTATTTTCTATTCATATTTTTTAGAATAAATAAATAAATAAATAAATAAAGATATAATATATGTTGCTTTCATAAAATTCTAGGGTTACATTGAATTTGGTTTACTGTTGAAATTAAAATTTAAAAGTAGGCACCGCCTTTTTTTGACATGAGAATTTTGAGACTTTAGCTTGGGTTAAAAATAATAATATATATAATAGGAAGAGAAAATAAATAACACTTTTTTTCTTGGTTCAAACCTTTGACTTTCCATTTTTAAAATTTAATTAACATTTAATATATTAATATATACTCCTCAATGAAAAAATATTTTCCATTAAAGCAAAAAAATCTATCAAATATAAATTTTTTTATCTTTTTTTTATTAGATCTCACTCATGAAATTACGTCGGTACTGTTATTGTTGTTGTATCAATATAATTTTATTTATCATACTAATATGTTGTCCGTTTATTTTTTAGCAAAGTTTACTTCTTAATTCAACTTGTAATTACTATATATTGAAAAAATTAGCGATAAATAGTTCATAATTAATAGTAATTTGTTGCTTAAATATATGTGATTTTGTCACGAATTTTAACTCGTAGTGCTTCATTAATTCTATACACAAATGATATGATTACCGATGGAATAACAAAAATATTATGTTAGTTATGATCTATTTAACGAAAAATTAGTAATTCTTTTTTGAAATATATAGATGAAGTAACAAAAATATTATGTTAGCTACAATCTATTTAACGAAAAATTAGTAAATTTTGTTATGAAATATATATAGAGCAATAAAATTAGATGACACTAATTGTAGTTAGGTTTCTATATGCAATCATTTATTAATTATCGTGCCTAAACTGTACTATATATATTTAATATCGTAGTAATAATTTTTATGACTTCAAACATAAATGGCATTATGTTTTTTTTAAAAAAAATTAAAATTAATTAGATTATTAAAAGCATTCCTTAAATAACATATTTCAAGTTAGTATATAGTTTGGGATATATGCCAATTGTAATTATGATTTTTGTAAGATTTATTTGACTAAGTTCTTTTCGATATCAAGAAAATTATGATTGCATTATACATTTTTCCATCTTAAGAAATAAGGTATAATATTACTTATTATATATTATCACTATATAAAAGGATCTTTTGTGTATAATCCTACGTGATATCAAATGTTATCAGTTTAGGTACGTAAACCAAATAATACAATGCAAGCAAAAGTTCCTAGATTCAAAGTATTTTTTTTTGTATTATCAGCCGTGCAATTTAATTGAGTATATAAATATGTATAATAGGGTTTAAAAGGGTCATACATATAAATCATCAAGATTTGTGATGGAATGAAATAATAATCGATAAAATTTCAATAAATCATCAATTTGAACCTTTAAAAAAAAAACACTAGTAGACGAGTTTTCCCCTTTTATAATAAGATATAAAATCTGTTCAATCGAATTTTTAAAATTAATCTATTTTGAGAAGTGCTTTTGGTTAGCGGTTTCTTTTTTATTAATAATAAATTTATTTTTGAAAAAATACTTTTAAACAATAATTATTATTTAAAAAAATACTTATGATCGATATTTCAAAACAAGATATAAAATTTGTTCAATCAAACTTTTAAAATTAACCTATTTTGAAAAGTGCTTTTGGTTAGCAATTTCTATTTTTATTAATAATAAAAAATACTTTTAAACAGTAATTATTTTTTTAAAAAAATACTTATAACCGATATTTCAAAACAAATACCAAACATCATATAAGAATTTGAGAAATAGAAAAAGGGGTTACACATGCAATCCATTATAGTTTATAAATAACCTTTTGACAAAGTCACTTTACAAAAGATTATTATTATTATTATTATTATTATTATTATTATTATTATTATTATTATTTCCATTATAGTTTTTTTTTTATTTCCTTTTCAATTTTTTTTTTTGTTGTGAGGGAAATTCAAGATAGAAATGACAAGGAATTAGAGGATGTTTCCTAAAGTCCACACAAACCAAAAAAAGTCCATAATCTCATACCCCTCTCTTTATATAATTTGTTTATTTCCTCTTTTCTACACAACATATATAATATATTAAATTCATGTTATAATATAAGGTTTTGAGATGATGGAAATATTCTTAATGTCACAAGAAATGATGAGAAAATCCAAAAAAATGAAGGAAGTTAGAAAATACAAGAAATCATTAGCTCCACGTTTAAGATGGACTCCACAACTTCATCATCTCTTTATTCAATCTGTTCAAAATCTTGGTGGAAGAAATAGTAAGTTCTTTTTTTTTACAAATAATAATTAGAATATAGTTTTAAAACTTTTTTCCTCTATATATTCTATAGTAATAAGCAAAGAAATTCTTGAAAAATTTTATGTGGTTTTTTCTTAATAGAAAATTAATTAATCGTGGAAAACAGATTCAGAATTTGAATTTTATGAATTAGAGAAGTTTATTGTTGTAGTAGATTATATGTTATTTGAAATATATTGATGGAAGAAATAGTAAGTATTTCTCGCAAAGAAAATAAATTCATTCTTTTTGTGTTTTTTCTCGGATTTAGAAGTAACCTAAAAATAAAAAAAGGAGGGTGGGGTTGCATGGATTGAGCAGAGACGAATTCAGAATATAACAGTTATGTTTAAACTGATCGATATAATCTTATTATTATTATATGTGTATAGGTACACAAATCAACAAATTCAGAATCTAAACTTAATGATTTCAACCTAGAAATGTTTTAGCAATGAACTCATGCACTTACACGATTATGTGTTTAGAATCAAATATTTATTACTATATAAAGTGTATGTATTATCGTGTATCTGAAAATAATCGATTCAGATGAACCTATAGCATAAAAGCTTTGTCCGCTTCTCTATACATATAGTTTAAGCGAAAAAATAATAATTAGTTAGTTGAATACATAGAATTTGCTCTAAATCCGCTTCGATTTTTGATTTAGTGATTATTATTTTTTGCTTTGTATTTTTTGATAGAAGCAACACCAAAGAGAATTGTGCAAATGATGGCCATAAAGGGATTGAAGATTTCTCATGTTAAAAGTCATCTCCAGGTACTATATATCTAACTTACCCTACCTAGATATTAGTTACTAATAATAATTATCGAAATTTCTGTATTTACTCGAATGATGCTATAAAAAAATCTTCATTATAAAGTGCTTATATTTGTTTTAACAGTTATCGTTTCGATTCTTTTGAAAATTTAATTATCAGGGAGAGTACACTCTTATTTATTTTATTATATTTTAAATTTATCTCAGCACGTACCAGCTTGATTCTTTTTTTTTCCCGAAAGATTAATTCAATTTCTTATAAATCTTGTACCCTAATTAGTAACTCTAATATTCCAATTGCACAATAAATTAAATTAAATTAAAATAAATATATATCATGCCTATTGGAGCTAGGTCTATGAAGACATATAGATTGGTCCAAACATGTAATTAAATTTGTGGTAGAATTTTGCATAATATGTTTGATTTAAATAAATATACAACTAGGTTAGGTATATATCATGCTAGCCATAGAAGTTTTAAAATTATTGATTGACTACAATAAAAATAAAAAGGAAAAATGTCTGATATACCTCTCAATTTTGTCATTTGGAGCTGATATATCTCTCGTTATAAAAGAGGCTCATATATTGCCCTTACCGTTATATAAACGGCTCACATATACCCCCGCCGTTACAAAATGGCTCACATATACCTCTGCCGTTACAAAATGGCTCACATATATCTTTCATTTAACGGAAGTTAAAAAATTAGTTTTAAATTTATATTTAGTACTTCTAATTTTTTGAAATAAATTATTTAGGGGTATATATGATTCTTCTATCAAAGTTCAAGGTATATTTTAATTTTTTTCATACATAAATTATTTTTTGACTTCTTTTATTATAATTTTGTTTTGAGTTTCTTATTCTTATTTTGTTTTTTTCTTTCATTCCTTAGTTTAATTTTTTTTGTGTGTATTGTAATTTAATTTCGTATTCGAAGAAAAGAATTGGTCATCTACAATAAGTTTTACAAGAATATTAGTGAAACATAAATAAATTTGATTATCAAAATAATAATTATAAATTAGTCATTGAAACAAAAATAAGTCAAAAAAATATGTTTGACGAGGATTAAATTTACTCATATGAGATTATATTTTCAAGAAAAAAATAATAAAAATTTAGATTAATTTTTTTTTCAATTCCATTAGAGGAAAAGGGTATATATGAGCCATTTGTTTACGAGTAAGGGTATATATGAGTCACTTTCATAACAAGGGTTATATCAGCTCTAAATGACAAAGTTGAGGATATATTAGACCCTTTTCCCAAAATAAAATATTCTATCGCTAATTTATTGCTAAATATATTTTGTTGGACCCAAGACCCGGCCCGGATATTTCATAACTGTTTCATTCGAAAGGCAGGCCAGGGGGATTAACGATACTATATTGGTTTCATCGCCCCCCAGCAGATCGAATGCTACGAAGAATTTTTTTGATAGTTCATTGATGTTTTGTGCTAATTCGTTACTAAATAGGATTACAACAATTTTCTTGAACCTAGCTATGGTCTCTTATGAAATTTGTATAACTCAAATTAAAAGTTTTTTACATATTTTTGTGATTTTATAATAAGTCTAATTACTAGTTACTAATTATAATTATAATTAATTATGAAAATCAGATGTATAGAAACATGAGGGAGCATCCAAGCCTCCATGTTGTGATGCAAGATTTCAATTTGTCTTCACCAATGTAAGTACTCTTATCTGAGCTCATTTATATTGTCGGTTTCGAGTTCGAAATAATAAATATAGAGTTATCGAGGGTTATTGAAAATTAAACAACCTTTTTATCTTATACAATAAGGTTAATTGAGACAGTATATTTTAAATTCTTAAAATCGTACTTACAAAATTATACTAGATTTATTGTTGTAATTTCCATTTGATAATGTAGAGGTTATAATATAAGTCGAAAAATTATATTATACATAGAATTAAGTTATTTTTTATGTATTTATAATAGGCGTAGAATTCATTTGACTTCCTCGTATATTTACTTCTTTCTGTTTTAAATTTTGTTAACGAGAATCATGACTATCTATCAGTATTACTGAATTCGATCAAATTCGTAACTGATATTCTAACTCCGGCGTTCCGTAATCTTTATATCCTTTTTTCAGGCACGTGTCAAAAATATTAGGAGAACATGCTCAAAATAGTAGAAAACAGAAAGAATCTGGAAGCCAAAATGGTGAAAATATACATTATAATGATTTCCAGGTAAATAATTTTCTAAAATATTATTTGTTAATTTTAACAGTTTATTTATTTTATTTATCAAGTTACCTATTATTTCCTTTCTACAAATTTATATGTCACACTTTTATTTTTAATCGATCCAACAAAATATCATCATAGTCGATAATTGTTCGTAAAAATAGGATAAGTAGCCTTATAGATAATGAGAAATTTACGTAAATCTCACTAGTTTAGGAGCTAATTATTTAGATATACTTTAGTTTGCAATTTTACTGATGTCTCCAGGTACGTTCAGATACAGGTATCTCAGAAACATGTCAAATCTAGGTGTAATTTGTTCTATATACATGGTATCCAAGTGGATTCACATACATCCGGGACACATAGTAAATCTCAATCTCCACTCTCCCATTTATCTGGTATCTCATATACATACGAGTCACACCATATACATACAAAAAAATACAAATATTTAGCGTATCTAGTTTGATTCGCATGTATATGCTAGATATGTATGAAACACTCCACATGCATACAAAACATGTATCTGTATTTAGTGTAATTCATATATATCTATACAAATTTTTTTCGCGTCTCTCTCTAGTCTCGCTCATCTCTCTCCATAATTTTGTGTATCTGATAGCAAAATACAAGTATCTAAATGTAAGATACGTAAGAAACTCTTGACTAATGATAAGATACACAATACGTATTTTGAAATTATCTGTAATACTAGTATATCTGATAGTAAAGCATATTAGTATAACACCTATATATTGTTCAGTGTATATAAATTAAATCCTAACAATTATAATTACTTTATAATTAGTCATGATTTAATTGTATAAATATCTTTTACAAATGTTATGCATATTTTAATTTATTTAAATTTCCAGGAAGTAGAAGGAAGTTTAAGTAGTGGAATGACAAAGGAGGAAGAAGAAGATAATGATGGTGAAATATATGAGTATAGAGAAACTAGTACTCAAATTAACCTAGATTTAACTCTCTCTTAATCATTATTTTAATTTTTAATTAATTAATTATGTGACTATATAATTAAATAGTCCCCTAGCTAGTTGATATTTACCATTTTTCTTATGTTTATGTACATTATCATTATAATAATAGAACTAAGCATTTATAAATTATAATCGTGTTGTTCGAATCAACATGTACGTACTTTTACTGATATTGTAAGAGACTTAGCTTGCTATCTATCACCAGCATAGATTCGAGCTTTGGATAGATGGAAAGAAACCATCTAACATTTTTGCTTCTGATGAAATTTAATCATGTCCGGAATATTTAAGAGAAAAGAAACGTTGTATCAAATTGAAGAAATAATCAAACACTCAATCCTTACATTTCAATTTGTGAGAATACATATTTAGACACGAAATTTAAGAAAATAAGAAATAAGCACGGTTGAAAATTATGGTTTTAAACATCCTACGAAGTTTTCGAGGCTATGCAAACATGTCAATTGACTATACAATAAGAAGTTTACCGTTCAAATGTAAGCTCATGTCGTTCTTTTTTAAACAGACTATGATGAAATTTAATATTTTAGTCTGAATTCAATTTTACCTATGCTGATAAAACTACCATAAGCAAAAAAACTCATTTTCATCCCAAATTCCCAGTGAAACACAGCAACTTCTTCAAAAACTACCATTCATTCCTTTTTTTTTTTTGGGTCATAACCGTGGCGTCTGAGTGAGCTTGCACACGGCTTAACTAATTCCATGGGATACCAGCAATAGTTACTAGGTAACTCTATTTTCCGAGGGTGGGACAGATGAGAAGAAATCACTTGAAACCTCATAGTGATCAACTCATTTCGTCGACCACTGGACGTTCACATATACTTTCTGCAAAATTCAATTTATTTTCAAATGCCAAACTTCAATCGAAGTACCTGCAACATTTACACGACGAGATGACCTACAGTTCAATACCTCGTCGATTAATCCTAAGCATACATACAGCAATGTGTTGCCTAAGCACGAAAACGAGTTTCATATTTGATCTCTGCATACAGGCTAATGTTTTTTCTCCACGAGTTTACCTTCAGTAAATTGAAGATTTATTCAACCTTCTTTCCCCTGAAGCTGCCTCGCGGTAGTCTGCTGAGGACACCAGAATCCAGCTTCTTGTAATGGCCTTGAAGCTTATCGAGGGCACTGTAAACGAAACCATCAACTTCATCTTCATATCTTTCGTATAGCACTGGTAGAGTGTGAGCAGCGATGAAACCTTATAAACAGTCAAAATTCAAAGTATAGTCAAGACAACGTCCTTTAATAGTTGTAATGAAAACAGCAATGTAAGAGCGGAATTTTTTCTAATGGTATGATTAAACTTACTGTCTTTCTCCCTCTTCCGTAGCCTTTGTTTCATATGATATTATCAAGGATCCGCCTTATATTTCCAACACTAACTAGTACTACTTTTAAAACATCTGATCTTGTTTGTCAAAGGACTCTATATTCTACTTATCACCGTCTTAAACGTTCCAGATAACGAGTTTATATTCGTATATTAGACAGCTTCATAACAGTATGAAATTGCTATCTGGAAATGAAATCATCTCCCGGTTTGATACTGAAAGAATAAACTGTAGTACGCTATCATGAAAATGAGAGATCGCTTACCAATATACAGAACAGTCAAGAAGTTGCACCAGGTTCCGATCATACCAGCAGCCCACAAGCTCAGTATAACCTATGACAAACCCGAAGACATAAAAAAAAACGAAGAGCAAGAGATTTCAGGGAGACAGGCAACCCGCAAGAGTCTTTTATGAGGGGGGGGTGGGGGGATGTCAAACAGCTGCAAGAAAATTTAGTGATCGGAGCATAGAATTTTCGCCTAAGATATGGATCTTAGTCCAAAAATATCACTAGGGATTGTGAAAATAAGTTAGCGAGTATATTGAACAAACAATGTAGAAGACTTGGGATCTCGTAATTGAGTTTAGAAGGGAAACCTATCTCGATTAGCCTATGAAGGCAGACCTAACTCACTTTGCTTTCTATTGCCTGGTGGTCTATGATCGGAAACAGTTCATACTTATGTCACACCTCACCTAGAGAAACGATAATCAAATAAAGCTTACGACATACAAAGAAAGGCTGCAAGATTAATGCCCGCAATAAAAAAAAAAAAGGTAACTTGGAATAGGACCACATAATTCAAATTAAATACTTCATACTTTCTATCATTTTGCGGTAAGCATATCCTTTTTAATAGAATTGATGATATATATGTATGGTTAATGACTTTAAGCATACCACTACGAATTGTTTCAGATTACCGCCCAAGGCAGCATCTTGAAGGAAGCCCAAACCATGGTTTAATTCAGTGCCAATTCTCTTGGCAATATTGATGAAGAGGTCTTCAGGTAAGACAAGACGAGGAACCGTAGGAGACCTGTTGCCATAGAATGTAACTGCCGTTAATTTGATTCAAGAATGTGATATAGCACACAAATTAGAACAACAAAGTACAAAAAGAGAACATTGCTTTAGAAAATATACAATCTCCACTACAGGTCAGTCTTTTACGCCAGATAAATTCCGAATTAGGTATTACCAAATGGACCATGACTGAGACCTTATGGTTCTCAACCCACCTCATTAACCACTAGGCCACACCCTAGGGTACGTTGGGAGTCACATTTAATAGTACTTGGATATAATATTTATAAAGTTCAGGGATCTATTAGGTAGAAAAATGTTAAAGTATCAGCAACTAGCTGCTAAAAAATGGACAGTCTTTGGGAGACATCATTCAACACTTATTTGTTCGCAACTTTGCATTTTGATATCCTTAAATATTCAACACTTCTGCGTGTTAGGAGAAAAATAATGCCTAGTACTTTATAGTTTATAGAAATGACTTCTTATTTTGTGATACAATGTAAGCAGACTGTATTGTCAAAGGCTTATAGCACCTGAAATATTACATAAATAACTCTGGTTATTTTCTCCCTTAAAAGGATCATCGAAGAAAAAACGAAAAAAGAACAACAAACATGGAGGAAATATCCTATATGAAAGAATGTGAATATTCAACCTAAACCTTGACCGAATGAGTTAAGTAACACGATATATTGTAGCTTTAAAATTAAAACCAAACGGAGGCCTTTATATGCAATGTGACAATGTCAGACATTATTATTACCAACAACAACATACCCAATGAAATTCCACGAAGTGCAATCTGGGGAGGGTAAAGTGTACGCAGACCTTACCCCTACCTCTACCTCGTGAAGGTAGAAAGACTATTTTCGAAAGACCCTCAGCTCAAGTGAAGCAAATCAAAGTAGTAATGAAAAGGAAAAAGTGGCAGTGAAGAAAACATGGAAACTAATAGGACATAGTGTACAACATAGACGCAAGGGACAATAACATCAACAAAATAGTGTGATTACTGAAATATAATAAGCAACAGATGGTGACAGATAATAAAGGTACCTGTTTATTACCCCAGAAGCATTTTTCAACAGAAACTGCGCGATCAGACCAAAGGACAGACCAAAGCACAGAAGTGAAAGAAAATTGTAGTTAAGCCACTCGAATAGCACCCAGATGGCAGTAGCACTGATTAAAACGCCGGCTGAAATTTTCTTGTTTCTCCACAACATGCTATCAGCCGCTACAAATCCGAGGAAATGTATTCAGTATTGGTATACAGCCACAACGAGATAAAGACGATAATGTATAAAAATACCGTACATTTGCCTCCACCTAAACAGTGGTGGATTGGTTTTTGACGTCCAAATAGCCTATTGAATTGAGCACTAACAGAGCTTTCACTTTCGTCTTGAAAAAATGACGTAGCTTTGTGTTTCAGCTCACCCTCAGAAATAGAGTCCATGATGTTGTTCAAAAGATTCTCAGCTGTTATTCCTTCCGGCATTTTGTTCTTTCTTTTTTTCTTTGGACACATACGAAGCTAAGTCAGTCATCAGAAGAATAACACACAGCACAAAGTCATTATGGAAATCTGCAAGATTCATGTAGACCAAATACTGGTAAATCATGTTGCTCGGACTCTCCAAAAATGTTGTCCCAAAATACACTACTTTTGGAGGATCTAATGCACACTTGTCAATATTTTTTGAAGAGTCCAAGCAACATCGTCAACAACCAAAGAAAATAAGCTTTTGGTAAGTAATATATCAAAGTAGTAGAATACTGAACAAGAACACAAATCATATATTAGCATTACAAAATAAAAAGGTACCTCAGAAGAAATAATGGAGAATAGGCTCATAATATTAAAGAACGGAGCAATCCGAAAGGAAACTAAGAAGTTTGCAAACATGAATACACACACACACAGCAAGAAGAGAAGCCTAAAACTCATCAGAAAATCCGTGTCTTCCAGAGAAGCAACAAGTCATACAGGATTAATCCCCAAACATAACACAGGAAATCTACTGACTGTACGAAATCACACGACTAGTCACATTCCAAAAGCACTTATCAGTTTCTATAGCTTAGCTTAGACAGCATAAATTCTTTATTTGCTATGATAAATGGTACTCCTCCATCTGAAACAGAACGCGGAAAATCTGATTTGGTATTGATATAAATATCAATAGAACCAAAAACCTCATATGTACACTAAAATTTATCAAAAGGCAACGAGATAAAGAACGACAAATTATCACTCAACCCCCAACCATGGTGTTCAAGCCAGCTTGCGCGCACCTCGACTAACAACAACAACAACAGATACCCCAAATTGGAACAAATCACCTAGTATTTCATCTCGGTTAGGATTTAAACCCGAGACCTCATGGTACTCAACCCAATTCATTAACCACTACACCACACCCTAGTTTGCAACCCCCAATCTACTTATATTGGTTCAATTTTCTTCATAACGTAAACCTTTTTCTTAGGCAATTCTCACCTAATCCTAGTTTTTCCTAGGGGACAGATCAAAAAGATCTAATCTTTCTTGACTATCCAACATAATTAACCAATTTCCATTACAAAAGTTAAAACTTTTCAAAGAATCATGATGGTACCCCACTAATTATTTTTTCCACAATTTTCTAAAACACACAAAATGTAAAGAACAAATCACAACAATGGAACCATAAAATCAAAAACCCAAAAGGGAAAAATGAAGAGTAAATGAAAAAGACTAACCTTTATCAAGAATTATAAACCCAAAGTACTCAAAACTGGAGAAACTAGCAAAGAAAATAAAAAATTGTGTCTTTTTTAATCATGAAGATATTATGTTCTTGGGTTTTTGGTCATTTTGAAATTTCTTCACCCACCCCCTCAACCCCCACCCCACATGAATTCCATGATAATTTTTTATATATACCATTTATCAAATATTTATATATAAATATATTTAGTTATTTGATTAATGTATACTTATTTAATATGGAGTCCATTAAGGTGAAGTATTCTATATAAAAACTATATACTCCAAATATTTTAATTTAGATCTTTAATTAAATTTAAAAGAATATTAGAAATTTCGACAATGGCAGAATCAAGTGATGTCAAAAGGTTCTAGGTTATTTAATACATTTGATTGGTTGATACTTCTTTAATACTATTCAAACACTTTCGATTGGTTGATACATGTTGATTTTCTGTTACGATAAGTTGATAAAACAATAATCGATTGCCTTGAATAAATTACATGATATATATATATATATATATAAACCATTTTGGTCTTCTTTTTAAAATTTGTTGTTTTTAAAATCCATAAACATAATATTAGAGATTGATTTAATAAATTTGTATAAATTTTTTATTTCAACCACATACTCACATATGTCATTTTCACAAAGGACGCAATTTTTTCTTATGTTATATTATTGAAGTGTGAATCACGTGGAATTATGAATATTGTTGTAGAAAAGGTTAAAAATACCCTTAAACTATCTGAAATAACTCATATATATCCTTAAACCATATTTTTGGCTCAAAATTATCTTTCCCGTCAAACTATTGAGTCAAAAATGCCCTTTTGATTAACGAAAATTATTAAATGTCATGTGGATGCAACGTGAATGCCACATGGTACCTCAATAGATTTCCACTGCCACATAGACTAAAAGAAAAAGGGTCAAAAGTACCCTTAAACTATCCGAAATAGCTCATATTTATTCTTAAACTATATTTCGGCTAAAAATTATCCTTGCCGTCAAACAATTGGGTCAAAAGTGACCTTCTTATTGGCGAAAGTTGTTAAATGACACGTGTGAAAATATTAAGCCAACTTTTAAGGGAATACATAGTCCATCTGTTTGCTCTGACTCTGCTTCTGCTCCCGCCGTCGTTGCTTCGTCTTCTTAATTGATTTAATTTTTTGAGTAATATCGTAACTTCAAGTTATATTTTTTTCACACGATCTTTGCATTTACGAATTTTCTTACTCAATTACTAAATCGATTTTTGTATGTATCATTTAAAATCTATAAATTTATGATTTCAGTTATATCGATTTTTTTTCAACTTGCAAATATAACTTGATTATGACCGAAAAACGAATAGAAAAATACCAAATCAAATCAAATTTATTTGATTTCGAATTAAATCACATCATACTTTTCAAAATCAAAAATAAAATTTTCTAGTGTTAGAACTTTGAGTGTTAATTATGTTATAGTTTCCATTATTATTATATACATATATTATTTGGTATGGTTCAACACTTTTTCAATTAACTTTATCAAATAAAAATCTTCTCTAATTATTCAACATATAATTACAAAAATATATAAAAACTGTCGATTTTATTCAAAAAAAATCTAAAATTTAATTCAATACAATTCAGTTCGATCGGTTAAATCAATTTTTTATAAACCATTGACACCCCTACCTACACCCTCAAATTCTACCCCGACCATCCCAACAAGTCACAAATATATAGGTATATACAAACCACAAACCAAATATAAATACTCTAAATTTTCTTTTTTTTTTTGGTAAGATTATTATTTATATAACTTCCACAATAATGTGTTTGTAGTTTTTTTTTTAAAAAAAAATTAAGGATATTCTCGGAAAGAAATACAAAAATAAAGATGTTAGACTAAAGAAAAAATCTAGACTATCAAAATTGTCCAAACAAGAAGAAGCTCAAAGACAACTGTTACAGTCGTTAAAAAATTGGACATAAGTTTATAGACTATCGTGTCTCAAAGGAGGACAAGAAATCCAAATATATCATGAGGGGTTAACGAGATTGACTTTATGCAATATGCGCTTTGAATGCAATTTACTAGAAAATTTCAAGAAATAGTAATTTCATATTTCAAAATAATACGCGAAAAATTATTTTCTATTGTACTTTTAAACCAAGTAAAACAGGAAAGTGAAGAATCATAGTATCTTAGTTGGTTACATGAATCCTCATGCACTTCACTGGTGAACGTTCGATTTTCCACCATAGAATCCCCTCCATGTTACCCTATCCCTACCCTAATCCAGTGACAAGAGTCCAATTTTGATTAACGAGTGTCAAAACATAAAGAAGTGAAATCACTTAGAACACAGTGTAATTTTTCGACGTCAAGTATTTTTGACTCCGCCACTGCCCCTATATCTACATTTATGGCAAATCCAAGATTTTCACCAAGAAAGTTCGAAAAATCAAAAATATAGTGTGAGAGATCTGAACTTGAAATTTTTTATGATAAATCTTAAACCTATCAACCACTAAATTGACCTTTAATCTTATATTCCAAGACG